ATTATAATATTATTAATATTATTAAAATATTTTATTTATTCAAGTTAAATTATTAATTTGCATGGGAATTGAATAGTTTTCTGTTCGAGCTGTATGGCAGGCAATGTTTGAGAAAGTTTGCTTTATGTAACAGTTCTAGTAAAGGCTTGTCCCACTTGAGGATGTACCCAGAAAAGTAAGGAAGGAGCAAGTGCTGTGGGTAGGGTCGTACACAGGCTACTGCCAGAAAACATGTTAGATTTCTTCTCTTCGGAGGAGAAAGGAGTTTCCACAGGATGTCTGCATTTTATGGCAAAAATGACTTGTAGATGTGCTCTGAGAGGTTGCTTTGATGTAGGAGATTAACCTGGGGACCTCATTGTCAGGATATTACTGAGGCAAATAGCTTAGTGAGATTATTTGTGACTTGGGAATTAAGCTTTTATGAGTGCGCCTACTTAAGCTGTTTTTTCAAGAATTTGCTCGCTTGTCACATGGCATCATGAATATTTGTACGTATCAAACGGGAGGAGGGAAAGCAAGACCCTGAAACTACAAACAACACCGAGAAGAAGGAAAAAAAAATGCAGTTTTGTCATAGCAACTTTTCCTTTGTTGCTAGTCTTATGGGCTGTTAAAATAATTACCTGAAACTTGCTTATTCCAACCCTAAAAATCCAGCCTGAAGAATTTGCAAAAAAATTTACGGAAGGACAGCTGGGAAGGTATGAGAATATTTTCTTGCATTCTGCATTTGCCTGATTTTCATTCCATTTCTGTTTGGATATTTTCAAAAAAAGGTGCTTTCATGCATGTGTTGACTAGGCTTGGGTGCTGGCCTGATCCTTAAGGAAATATCACCAGACTGGAGTGCTGACTGCCTGGAACCTGCTGTGATTCCCTCAATGTTTGTTTTTTTTAAACACAGAAGAGGAGTCTAATTGAACCTGTAATTTACTAGAAGTCATTCATGTGGATGGTTATGCTTATTTAATTTACCCCACATACATCTTTCTTTTAAAATTGGTTGTAGTTTGCAAACTCACTGAAACCGTATATTGTTTATGATGGCAAGTATTGGTTTTAATTTTAAATGCTTCAGTACTTCTTCTGGCTGTAGATTAATGAAAGCCTTCACTGCAATTACAGAATTCAATTTTCCTTTGTGTTATTGAAAGGATAACTTTTTATTTTTTAAGAGCATATAATTTTTTAGACATGAATCTGTATATGAGAGGGTTGAGAGAATACAGTTTAATATTAGTTTTGCTTGGTAAAATTCGAAATTGTGAAAAGCTTGGATTTCCGGGAAGGTGCAGTGGTGCCAGAGCAGAGTTGCCTCTGAAGGAAGACTTTTTAACGGTTGTGCTAAGAGCCAGCATTATGTGAATTTATAGGAGGCTCAAAAAACATTTAGGTTCTTAAGAGAACTGATGAAAAAGCCAAAGGTGCTTAATTCCAGCAAGTTACACTGATATCATGTAACCTGTTTCGGTGCTCCGTGCTACGCTGGCAGGTGTTTAGGTGCTTGTACAATTCATCTCATCTGGCCTTTGCAGGCTGTGGTTCTGTGTCAGCTGGATCTTGTTCTCTGCCAACCCTTTGTGTGTCCCCCAGCAGAAAAGTTCACCTGAGAAGCCTCCTGCAGCCTTGCAGATGCAACTGTTGGTGGGCTGTGCCTCCGAGCAACTTGTTACAACAGAAATGATTCCTCCTTGGGTAGTGGAGGTGACTTCATTTTCTTTCCACTTGGGAAGAACATCGCTTTACTATCTGCTTGATAAAAATAATAAAGCAAATTTAGCTACGTGACTTTCACAGGATTCGCAGACAGACTATTTAATCTTGTAAGGGGATTATGTGATGTAGTGCTTACAGTCACAAGAGACTGAACTCCTTAACTTGGGGAGCCCTTTCCAGTTCTCTGTTTCACTTAATGAAGTTGTAATGGGTAGGACATCAGGAGAATTGGAATTTGACTTTGCGCGTTATCCTTGTGCAAGATGCTACTTCATATGTATTTTTAAGGCCAATGCTATTTTTAGAATGTTATAATTAAAAATTACTTTGGATTTTATTTATTTGTTGCAGGCTTCTGACATCGTTAGGAACAGCATTTGAGATGACTTCAGTGGAGAAGATTGAGGAGCAGCTCGCTAGCCTGCGCATAGCGAAACGCTCTGCGCTGAGTGAGGAGCCTGCTTACCTGCTGGATATAGACGTTTCCAGACCTGCTCAATCGGAAAGCAGCCGCTTTGTGGCAGTTTCATGTTCCAATAAGTCGGTCAGGGTGTATAACAGGGAAACGTTAAACTTGCTGCGGGAGTACAGTAGCCATCCTGGAACACTTCACGGAGTCAGATTTGCACACGCGTGTGACAGCGTAGTGTTTTCCGCGTGCAGCAACGGTACAGTAAAATGTTGGGATGTTCGTTTAGCAACTCAGAAAGCTGTGCAGGTATTTAGTGGCTATCCTGCCAACGTTTTCATTGCTTTTGACATCAACTGCACTGATCTCATAATTTGTGCTGGAACAGAAAAAGTTGAAAAGGACGCATTTCTGGTGTTTTGGGATGCAAGAGGCGTTACAAACTGTGCCGGTGCAACTAAAGAGCCCTTGGGAGTTTATTCTGAAAGTCACAACGATGATATCACTAAAATTTGTTTTCATCCTAGCAAACGCAATTTGATAGTTTCTGGGTCAACTGATGGATTGGTTAATGTGTTCGACATTAACAAGGATAATGAAGATGATGCTTTGATATCAACTTGCAATTCAGATTCATCAGTGAGTTTTATTGGCTGGTCTGGGAAGGATTACAAACAGGTCTACTGTGTGACACACGATGAGGGATTTTGTTGGTGGGACATTGCTCAGTTAGATACCGAGGAATCAATTACACTGTTGCGTGTTCTGGATGTCAGAGACTCGGTCTGCGTTGAAAACGATGGCTTGAATTACCTGATAGGTGGCTTGTACCACGAGAAGGCAGACAAGCTCTTTCTCCTCGGGGGAACATCTGCAGGAAACATTCACCTCGTGAGCTGCAGCACCGACGGCCTGAGCCCGGTGGGAACCCTTCGTGGAGGACACTCCACCACCGTCCGCTCCTTCTGCTGGAACCTGGCGGATGAGTCTCTGCTGACGGGTGGAGAGGATGCTCAGCTGTTGCTATGGAAACCCAGAGCTGTAGAAAGTTCCCTTGGAAAGAAAGCCTCTATGAAGATGGCTTCTTCGGTGCAGAAGAGAGTAAGAGTTCACAACACCAGCTCCCTCAAAAGCAGGAGAAAGTGAAATTCTGGAAGCGGGAATCTCTGCTGTGTAGAGTGTTCCTGGTGTTTAATCTTGCGGACAGTACTTGGCCGTGCTTTATTTGGAGGTATTCCACAGAAAGAATGATGATGCTTCAATTTTACCTGGGACTGTATTTCAGTCATCAGAAGAATGCCTTTGTTTTGTTGTGTTGGGTTTTTTTAAGTTGCTAATATTAATCAGGAAAGAGTAAATGTTTGCTCTCAAGTTCTTAAAGAATAGATCTTAAATAATTTTATATAAAAATGGCTCTGTGGTTGTTTAATGTCCCAGACAACATTTTTAATGTGTAATATAGGCCCTTGGCTTGCATAATTTGTTACCTTCCCGCTGAAATTCCCTGGCATGTTTTAAAAGCTTTTGTATTTCATGCTGTGTTTTGCTTTCTTTACAGAGAACTTAATGAAATTGCTCAATATATTAAAAGATTTTATGTCACATCTTAATGCCTGAGGGAATTACTGCTCGATGAAAGGGAAAATAAGTCCTGTTTTGCATTGTCATGTCACTGATTTATTACAAGCTCATAAAGAAGCACTCGATAGAGCCATATTTTTTCTAGCAACTACATGGATGTATTCAACTGAGCAGGAACACATGATTCCAAGCACCTAATTTTTAAGTGTATGAGACCTGTTAAACTGACATTATTTAGGGCATATTTCCTGCTTGAAAATATCCAAGAATCTTGCAGGCAACTTGGTTCTCTCCTGGTAAGTGCATCTTGGGGGGTGTACCTGGAAGACTGGAGAGGTCTGCAGTGGGTTAAAGAAACTGATGGGTGTAATTGCACCAGTGGTGCTGAAAACCCCGAATCTTGCATTTGAAATCACAGAGTATTGCGTGCTAAATGGGAATGTTAAAAAAAAAACAACAAAAACCAGTGCCTTCTAAGAATGTAGTTACAGAGTAACAAACGAATATGAGGAGACTTTAACAAAACCTTTTAGAGGTCGGTGTGTGTCCTTTAAAAAATGTTTCTCTCCCAAGAGAGGCTTCATGCTTGGGCATCTCCCAAGGACAGCTTCGTTTCAGTATTCCCTCAAATATCTGTTAAGTGGTGCAAAATGTGCCCTGTACTGAGTCGGTTGAGTCTTTGCCCTTATTCTGCTCCACTGGCAGATGCTGGTCTCCGCACCTCGCTCTGCACACACCATTACCTTCAGCCTTCTGAGGACCTTTGCATCACATGGTGGTTGGTAATTATGCCGTAATTAACGGATGTGGGCTACAACTGAAAACAGCACAAGAGTATTTAAGGATTGCTATGTTACAGTATAGTTGGCAAAAGAATTAAGAGGGATTGGTCTGTGTAGGGTTTGTTTTGTTGTCTTTTTCTTCAGGGTGGGTTGGTAATTCTTTCAAAATAAGTTTTGAATCTCAAGCTTAGAGGATTAACCTGGAGTTCAGAAACGGCTTCTGAGGTACAGAAGATACCTTTAGTGTATGGTTACAGCTACGCTGAAGGCTTCATGATCATCTCAGTCCCATTCAAGCAGAAGTATTGAGCTTCCACATGATATGTTTTACAAACTGTTAATATCCTTCAGCCCCAGCTACGCATCTGTAGTTGTTTTGGGCCTGCCTCTTGGTGATAATTAAGATGACTCACTTGCTTTTGTTACTGCTGTTTATTTAAAAGTACTGTGTCGATTTAAAAATCACATTTCTCTAAACTTTTTTTCTCTATATTCTGTTAAATTCAAGTGCTGCACAACATCCTTGTCTGTTGCCTTTCAAATCGCTTTGTGCTGTTCTGAGACAACTTTGGGCAGTGAGTGTCAGGGCTGTGATGCACCTGGGTCGTTTGTTCTTTCGAGATATATTCTCCCAGGCCACCAGTTACTGCCTCTTTCTGTGGAATTCACAGTTTTGTAACAGAGTGGACCAAACGTTTCAGACCCCTCTGAATTCACCACAATGCCCTCTCGGGCCTGACTTGGGTCTGTACTCATAGTTGCAGGTGAGAAACTAAAGAGTGATTCTAAGACCTATTTCATTCCAAGTATGATATATAACTTTTTTTTTAGATGCTAATCCACTGTTTTCCTGGTATCTTGACACTCGGTAGAGGAGGGTCATTGGGTCTGTCTAATGCTTGGTTTCTTGAAGATGGTTTTGTGTGCTACGTACACAAACGAGGGAGCTTTTGGCTGCCTCCCCTTGCTTTCAGCAGTCAGTTGATCAAGATTCTGTTGTGTTCTGCCAACTATCCCTGAATTAAAGCAGCAGAGATAGGAGTCGTGGTACCGAAGTGTTGGAAGTATGCAACTGGTATCTGGTATCTTGTTTCTGAGTTAGATTGATACATAATGAATCAATATCCATCACAGCTCAAGCCATGCTTTTCCCTGAGAAGTTGATTTCTCCCTTTTACACACAGAACTTAAATAGCAATGGAAGGGGAAAAAATTCTGCAAAATCACAGCAGCTGTCAAGAGACTTGAGCTTGTGTTGCCTCTGAAAACACTTGATTATTTTCTTTTTCTTTTGTGCTGTTTTAATTTCAGGTTAATATCCATAAAATAAATATAGATGGAAACCGCATGTTAGCGACTAATCAGCATTGTGTGCTTTTGGAAACTGCAGAACTCTTTCACAGATTACAGGGCACAGGCAGAATACATATGTAATCATATAAATAATAATAGACTTGAAATTAGGCAGGTTAACTTGTCTGACTGTATTTAACCTCTTAGGTTAGTTTTCATGTTAAGAAACATCTTTGACCTTTATAAAACTTATGTAATTGAAACTATGTGCAAGTAGCAGGCATTCAGAAATCGTCACTCTGTGAATTGTTTAACCCCAGGGGAAGCTCTGATTCCGGAAGCAGTATCCAATTTTTTTCCAGTAAATGAAAAGTAAAAATCCAGATAGACTACTGAAGTGCCGAAAACAGCGTCTGTCTTTATTCAGAGATGACAGCAAACCCTTGGTATGATATTGCTGAGCAGCAGGAGGATATCCTGTAGTGAACTCATGAAGATAAATTTACTTACATTTGACACATTCCTAAGTTTCCTTCTCCATAGGCAAAACCCAGCACTAGCACGCACAATGTTGTGTTTAAGGTGTGCTCCTGTTGAATATACACTTTCCCCTCTTCTGGAAGTGCTGTCGAAGTGCAGTTTTGTTTTGTTTGAGTAAGAGATGTACCAGGATGCCCTGTCACTGTCAGCGGGGAGCATTGCCAACTATTTCAGTCGAGTGTAGGATTTTACCCACACTTTAGGGGGATGGTGGAAATTATTTGGCAAATCTAAGGTGTGAATTCATTTACAGGTGGAATTTCGTTAGCCAGTTGTCAGTCATGAGCTATTTTGTGACCAAATTGTATATGGCCTGTGTCCTGTGTATTCAAGTGGACATAACTGCATGTCTGCGTTAAAATCTTAATTGTTAAAGATGCTGATACAGCAAAACATTGTAAAGACATGAAGTGCAAGCTTTATACTATGTTTTTGAATGACAGCGTTCTCTTGGCCAGCAATCTTATGTAGCCCTCTAGGTCACACTAGGATACAAAGCTCCATATTTTGTCATGTGAAGTGCTGACTCAGAAATAGGCTTTTAAAGGCAATAGAAGCCGAGCACCTGCACACGTACATATCTGCATCTTCTGGTTCGTGCTTGGGACAGAGCCCAGCCCAAGTGTAGTGGGGACTCAGTATGGACACAGTTAATTGCAGTGTCAGTTTTTCAGCGAGGCTTTTTTACCTCTGAAAGAACTGACACTTCCAGCTCACCTCATAAAGCTCATCTGCATTTCCCATGGTTGATTTGGAATTCTCTCCATCCCTTCGAAACAAACTTCTGTTTCTTGGCATCTTGGTGTTGGGCTTTTCTGGTGGTAGTGAGTTGTGTCTTAATACCTGCTTTTCTGGAGAGGGATGAGTCCTGTCCCTTTCCCTGGTGAGCTCTCCTGTCCCGTGCGTGGGCTCCTGGGCTCTGCACTTCACGTTACACCAGGTGTGCGTGGGAAGCGGAGAGAGGGAGATCGAAAGGGAGGCTCGCCCCTGCCAACCCTCTCTGAGGGTGTCTCTCCACAGAAGCTCCTTGACTAAGGAGTTAGACCCTGTGCCTCAGAAATATGTGTAATGGCTTGTTCTTGAGCTTGACGGAGGCAGGATAGGACCCTAAATAAATTATGCAAGGCATAAACACCCTTCATGCATAAAAGCCAGTTCCTGTTTGTCTGCGAGATGAACAATTTGGCAGCGAAGCGTGCGAGAGAGGCAGAAGGTGTTTGCTCACAGGGGCTGGATGTTCTGCTTGCAGCGAGGAGAGCCGCTGGCCGGGCCCGGACCGCTACGTCTGCCCTGCAAGAGCAAATGGACTCAGGGAGTTGAAGGGCTGCGGAAAACAGGAAGGCAGAAGTGAGTGGGGAGATGCCGGTGGAGGTAGCAGTTCAGTCTGTGAACCAAGACTTATTTGCAGATAACCTAAGAACCAACTGTGAGGATTTTCAGTTACTTCTTGTTTTCTATTTCCTTTTTTTGTACCAGTTTGTAAACTGGCACAGGTATGTTGGCTGATGGGAGTGGAGTGGGGTTAACTTCAGTTACGGCCGCTGACGGCTTGGCCTCAGCTCGCTGTCAAGGTGTTCTGTCCTGCTTGGATTTCAACACATGCATTTCTACAAGTCTGCTGTCCTTGCGCCTTTTAGATAGTTTGAAATACGCATTTTGAAAGTTACCTATTTTCTGGAAACTGAATGGCAGAAAATACTCTTCTATATACTCTTGCTGCAATCTTGGCACCAGTATTTTTACAGTAATATGTTCCATTTTCAATTCAATACCAATTTCAGTCTTATTTTCTCATCCGCTGAATATAGATTCAATGCTGCTAAAATTCTGTAAAGGTGGTATGTGAGCAGCCTGCTGCCACAGGAACTTGTAACTGGCCGTGAGAAATGCTGGGTGGAGTTAAGAGAGGTCTCAGTGACAGATTAAAATGATCATTTGGGGGAGTCTAAA